ATGATGGAAAACAAAGTTGTAACCTTCATACTTTTACTTAACTATGTTTACTTTACACATAAACTTAGTTGTATGTACACAGGACAAAGCAAATCTGATACAAACATGGGGAAAATGCCTGCTTTTATAAAGGCAGTCATCTCTCATCCAAAGTAAATCTTGTGAGAACTGCTTTGAAAAGATAATCTACTTCAACTCTGCCTCGTTACCACTAGCACATAAGAGAAGTGCATGCTACATTTAATTGGTTTAAGACACAATGGGAAGGTAGAGGTGCTGGAGGAAAGGAGAGGGAGACAAAGGAAAGGGACAGTTTCAGATGCTGTTAATATACTGGAGATAAGAACAAAGTTCAAGCTTCATCCAATTAAGAAAGCAAGCATTTAGTAAAAGAAGGATGAAATTTGCCTTGAGTGTTAAGAGTCCGCTGAGTCAGATGCAAGGGCTTGTACTTGTAAATTGAAATCTGTCACAGTCCAAAAAGTGATTTGGTTTAAATTAATAGAGGTCAAAGCCCACAGTTATCACTAGGCTGTCAAGATTAGTCCTTACAGACTAAGGAAAACTCCATTTCTGAGCCACAGAGAATCTGGCTCCTGAAGGACAAAAACTACAAAATAGTAGGGGTTGGGAGGAGACATACAGCTTTGTACCACAACCCTTCTTACCACATGGTCAAAAACTTCTTCCATCAAACAAGGAATGTTATTCCCATCCCACACAGTATATAAACCACAAGCAGACTTGAAAATTGTGAGAGTTATAGTCCTGTTTATAAAAAGAAGCCAGGGGTTTAAAACTGGCTTCAGAGGGAAGCAGTATGTTGAATGACTTCCTTTCCTTTGCTGCCTTCCCCAATCCCCAGATTACTAGATTTTTTATTCTTTTCTACATGAGAGGGGTTGGAGTACCATATATGTAAGTGGGATGGTTTGGGGAGGGAGGCAAGGGATGACAGCTCCATAGTGCAGACATATAGGCACAAATCTATGATACTATTGCACAATGCTCTGAAAATCTTTTCAGTGTATTCTTTTTATAGAACAGGACAATAACTAATACAATCTAATTTAAGATAACTCACCATCTGCACACATAAGAAAGCATTAAGAAATGTAATAAGATAACAATAACATTAAAAATAGTAAAGAATTTTGACAAAATTTAAATGATGGCCTTTTAATAGAGAGGTGTGAGAGTTGCTAAGCCTTAAATTTAAAATTCTTTAAGGAGACTGAAGGGAGCTTAATACCTTAAAAAATATAGTATATTTTTAAAAATAAAGCAAAATGCTCACTGCTACAAAACGTGGCCCTAGGTATAAAAGCTGGACCATCTTTCCTTGAGATGAGATCAACTCCTATCTTAGATATGTGATACTGACTTATTTGTTTGAATATGCTTGTTCTATCCCCCATTTATTCTCCAACCAGTATTATTACTAAATACAAAGTTTAAATCATGTAAGGAAAAAAGTCTGTTTAGAATGTTCAGCACCTCTAACAACTCACCCACAAGTTTATCAAGAAAGTACGGTAAACTTAAGTCTTTGTCCTACTATCGAGAAGAAAAACAAAGCAAAAAATAGGCAATTAAATGCAATTTTTTAGAGTCAGTTTGTCACCTAGCCTTCTTAAAAACTTCTGTTTTAAAGGGTCAGTTATATTTTCATTCAAAAGTTCAAAGGAAAAAAATACAGGCTCCCAGATGGTACAAGATTCTTTGCATTGTTTAGACTGACAGGCTGTACAGTTGTTCCCTGTTGTGATGATTAAAAAGTTAGTCTAGGGCCGACCCGTGGCTCACTCAGGAGAGTGTGGTGCTGATAACACCAAGGCCACGGGTTCGGATCCCATATAGGGATGGCCAGTTAGCTCACTGGGTGAGCATGGTGCCAACAACACCAAGTCAAGGGTTAAGATCCCCTTACGGGTCACCTTTAAAAAAAAAAAAAAAAAAAGTTAGTCTAAATAAACTAAAATATCCTGGACTCTGAAGCTTTAACACCCACCTATATATACACGTATTTTTAACAAAAAGTATAAATTCAAACCATTTTTAAAACTTGATAAACTAAATGAAACACAAACCTGAAGTACAAAAAAGGCACAGAATGAAAGGTAAGTTTATCACCTTAACAAATTCCTCCAATATTTAGGTGCTAGTTTAGAAGTATGTTTTATTCTAGAACGTGAATCACTAATTGATATCCTCTGTAGAGAGATGTTTTTAGCATAGTTTTATCACACCAGAGATATAAAATTTAAATGCATCTTTTCTAAAAATTATTCCAAGTAGATCTATGCTAAGACATTTCACAGAAACATTCCAAGTCATAAAAGTAGTTAAAATCAAGTTCAGTATTAGCCTTAACTTTGCAGATTTTCTTTAACTAAACTTAAATCAATATACTAAAAAAGATAGACCCTAATTATTACATTTGCATAAAACATACATAGGAAGACTTTTAAGGAAAAAAACCCATAATCTTTTATACCTTTCAGTGCAATTACTTTGCTAGCTGGATTCATGATGGCACTGTCTGCTGAAATTGGTCTTCGAATGGGATTACTTGGGTCATTCATATCAATGATCACCACCTGGGCCTGCTCTCCTACTTTTTCTCTAATGCAGATGAATTTGTCTGACTCCATAGTCAGGGTACTAAAGCCAATGTTTGCTGGGTTAATACCCAGGTTCTGGAGCTGAAAAAAATAAAATAAATCATGTTATTAGAAAGTGGATTACAAAGACTTGACATATTATCATTACAAATCCTCACTTAACCATTAATGCATCAAAGTTAACAGTGACAACTCCAGTACACTGATTAATGTGAGGCAAATTAATAGCCAAATAATGGACCTTATATTCTGCCAACAAATATGGCATTCAATTGTTTCATTTTAACCTTGTGATTATGACTAAGAGACAGAACAAATGAAGTTAAAGGAAAGAACAACATCTGAGAGGTTGCATTTATATTTCAATGGATTCGAAGTCATCACATTTCTTAGTTTAAGATCTTTGAGCTATTGGACCTGTCCCCTTACCCACTTGCCTTAACATTTAGTACAGTTACTTGTTCACATGCATTAGGCTTCAGGAATCTGAAAATTAAGTTATAGCATAAACACAAAGATTTAAAATGTCACAGAGTTCTTGATGTAAAGGCACTTGGTTGTTCCCTGTATTAGCCAGCTGCCAAAAAAAAAAAAGGAGGAGCCAGCCCGTGGCTCACTTGGGAGAGTGTGGTGCTGATAACACCAAGGCCACGGGTTCGGATCCCTATATAGGGATGGCCAGTTAGCTCACTTGCTGACAACACCAAATCAAGGGTTAAGATCCCCTTACCGGTCATCTTTAAAAAAAAAAAGGAACTTGGTTGGACTAGAAAGAGCAGAGAAGTAAATAGTTACAAAACTGTGCCAAAAGTGCCAAAAGAGGGACCTTTGTCAAAGAAGGCTCCAAAGCTAACGCAATGTGTTCAAGGAAGGTAGATAAGAAAATTCCCAACAGAGGGGGCCAGCCCATGGCTCACTCGGGAGAGTGTGGTGCTGACAACACCAAGGCCATGGGTTTGGATCCCATATAGGGATGGCCAGTTAGCTCATTGGGTGAGCATGGTGCTAACACCACCAAGTCAAGGGTTAAGATCCCCTTACGGTCATCTTTAAAAAAAAAAAAAGAAAGAAAGAAAAGAAAATTCTCAACAAAAGAAACATGTGCTAAGGCCCAGAGACGTGAAACTATTGTCTGTTAAGGGAACTACAAACACTTTTGTAACATCAAGAGTTTAAACTATGGGGCCGGCCCGTGGCTCACTCGGTAGAGTGTGGTGCTGATAACACCAAGGCCACGGGTTCGGATCCCATATAGGGATGGCCGGTTCGCTCACTGGCTGAGCGTGGTGCTGACAACACCAAGTCAAGGGTTAAGATCCCCTTACCGGTCATCTTTTTTAAAAAAAAAAAAAAAAAGAGTTTAAACTATGAAAGGCTTGGGAAGTAGAGAATTAAGGTTACAGAGACAAGCAAGGGCCAGACTGACAAGCTAAATGTACCCCCGTAAGAATCCTGATAGGCAAAAGGAGCTACTTCCGGGTTTTAACAAAAAAAATAACAGAATTAGATTTGCTTTGTATACTCAGAAGATACTAAAGTATTTGCTAAACAAATATAGTAGATCTAAAGATGGTAGGTCTTTTAAAACCAATTAAGTGTGTAAGAACAAAAGTCAACTGTTACTGGGAGGAGATTTCTACCGTAATGGATCTTTAATACACTTTATGCCTAAATGTGGTATGACAGATTAAGTCCAACTAAAAGAGGCTACTTGAGGGTTTTATTTTATTAACCTTGGCCAGACTAGTTTTCCCTCCCCTTTCCTACATGAGTAATAAATCCACATGGTACAAAATCCAAAAAAGAAAAAACATGGAAAAAAATCAAGTCTTTCTCCCACCCTTGTCTCCCAGCTGTACAACTTCCTTCCCCAGAGAACACCAATCACTGTTATCTCATAAATTGGCTGAGCCAAGTTAACTGTACTTTATCTAAACTCTTCTGTCAAACTCTTCTGCTAATAGTGCTTAAACATAACCAGACCAGAATCTGAATAAGATACAACATAAGATTAAGAGGCTATGTTTTACTTTCATGTTCCTCTTATACTTCAATGACTGTAGGCATAACCAGTTATAAAGTGTAGTTACAGTAACTCAGTCCCTGAATTCCAGGGGCAAGGAGTCAAACAATTGTCTAACCATTAATACAAACAGGGTAATAAAGGTGAAAGATTAACTGGCTTTACAATCTTAAGTATATGCTGCAATGCAAAGCAAATACGCCAGCTGTGAGGTATGTAACTTATAACATATTTGGTTACAATAGAACTTTATGAATTATTAATTTTCATTTCTTCCTGACTTTAACTTTTGCAGTTACTTTTATTTCCAGAACAAATGGAGAAAGATAAACATACAAAGAGATTGTGGGCGGACTTCAGGAAGGCCTTTTATGAACCAGGTTATCCATCTAGTTTCAGAGACATAGCGGGGTATATACATCTATTTTTTTAAATAGAGGGTCTTTTATACTCTTGTAAGTTTAATCAATAGTTACCTTTCCAATAATCGGTAAAAAAATATTCCATTGACTCATGGAGTTCATATAGCTATATACCTAACAGCAGCAAGTTACCTTCTAAACTACTCTGTAAATAAGAATTTATTGTTTCCAAGTCTCTATCAAGCCTTCAATTAAGGCAATTTTACGTTTCAGCTGTCACAGCCTAGGTCCCAGTGTTTGAAAAAGTCACAGTAAAAATAGTGTGAGTCAAATAGTGAAGTTAAAGGCAAAGCAAGGATGCAAAACAGACACTACTAACTGAACCCACAAATGACTCTAACAGATTCCTTCCTACCCCTCATTTTCAGAGGCAGGTGCAAGACGACTGTAAGAAAAGAAAACACTATTAGAAAAGATGGTGAAGAGGAGGAAAAAAGGAAAGTCAAGCAACCTGTTTCCTATTCCTTGCTAGATCTGCAGAAAAACTCAGTTAAGAAAAACAAGCTACATAGTTAGCACTGACCTTCAGCCTCAGGGTGTTTCACTTGTAGAAAAAGCAAAGATTTTGTTGTTGGTTTGTTTGTTTGTTCGTTAGTTTGTTCTTTAAAAAGATAACCTGTAAGGAAGGGGATCTTAACCCTTGAGTTGGTGGTGTCAGCACCACGCTCTCCCCGAAGTGAACGAACCGGCCATCCCTACATAGGGATCCAAACCCGTGTCCTTGGTGTTATCAGCACCACACGCCCCCAAGTTAGCCACGGGCCGGCCCAAAGATTTGGTTTTAAAGGGGTAGGGTTGCCTGCAATCTATGTACTCCTTATATTTCTCTCATTAAGCACATTCTACCAAGACAGCTATGCATATCTTTGATCTTCTCCATCAAGAATGTACTAATACTATTCAAAATACTCCATGTGACATAGGCTTATATCCTTTATTTAAAATACACAAAATTAGCTGGCTGGTTAGCTCAGTTGATTAGAGGGTAGTGCTGATAACACCAAGGTCCAGGGTTCAATCCCTATATTGGCCAGCCACCAAAAATAAAAATAAAACACAAAATTAAACGAGGCAAGTGCCAGGCCGGCCTGTGGCTCACTCGGTGAGTGCAGTGCTGATAACACCAAGGCCACGGGTTCGGATCCCATATAGGGATGGCCGGTTCGCTCACTGCCTGAGCGTGGTGCTGACAACACCAAGTCAAGGGTTAAGATCCCCTTACCGGTCATCTTTAAAAAAAAACGAGGCAAGTGCCAAATTTAACAATGCTACATGTTTAAACATATTAAAAAGCACACTTAAGGGCCGAGCCTGTGGCGCACTCGGGAGAGTGCGGCGCTGGGAGCGCAGCAGCGCTCCCACCGCGGGTTCAGATCCTATATAGGGATGGCCGGTGCGCTCACTGGCTGAGCACGGTGCAGCTGGTCTCAAAAAGGACAAAAAAATAAATAAATAAATAAAAAGCACACTTAAGTGATGGCCATTTGCACAACTAAACAGGAAACTGCTCTTTCCCAAAAAGCCTTTCGTAGTCGTAGTTGCTAAGAAATGACAGGAACTTCAAGTAACCTATTCCTATCAGTTAACAGAAAGCTACATTAGCTTCTACCTCTTCAAGTAAGGTCAGTAAGACTTTTTTCTCTTACTGGTGTTACTTTTCAGTGAGAATGCCCTGAGCACTCACCAATTCTTCCCTTATTTTCTTTTGATATATTCAAAAGGGAAGCAAGCGAAAACATACAGTTATAGGACAAGCCACCATCATTAATCACAATTCTGTGTACCCTTAGAATAGGATCCTTAGGAGTATATAAAAGGACTACCATACTAGATAACCTTAGAACAGGATCATATAAAAGAATTACCATACTAGATAACTATATCTAGTAATATTTGTATAGTTTAAAACTTCAAAAATGCAACAAAGTATTATTAAGGCTGACCTGTTAGCTCCCTTGGTTAGAGCATGGTGCTGATAAAAATGCAACACAGTATTTTAAAATTAGTTTTATTTTCAAAGTAGCACATACTAACAATAAAGTATTCTTAGCCAATTATAAAAGTGTGATGATATACGAGAGATACCACAGAAACTGAATTATAGACAGTGAAAGGCACCACTGATAAATTCAGAGGACACATAACAGTCCCCAAACCTGCAGCTATTTTCAGAGGGCATACAATATTATCAGAACTACACCCACATTTTCTATTGTCTCAAATTGGCAAAATGTTGCTACTGTTGAAGCTGGAGATGTGCTACTTTGAAATATGTTTAGATGTTTCTATAAAAGTTTTTTAATTTCAAAGAACTTTTATTTTGCTGTTATAAGAATATGGAGTCAATAAACTTGGGTCCAAGAAAAGCGGTTACTTATTTTTGGGGAGAGTTATTGCAAGCATTTGGTAAAGCATTCAAACTGTACAAAAGGGTATATTGTGAAAAGTCACCCATCGCTTCTTTCCAATAATACCCTTTCCCCCCCGAGCAATTAGATACATATCTCAGAGATACCTACAGTACATGAAAGTATATATACTTCCATCTTCTCTTCTTCAAAAAAACACTAATGAACCAATGCACAAAAAACACACAAATTATTAACTGCATCCTTCTTTTTATAGAAAAGCAACAT